GGGGGGGGGGATTCTACGTTTCTTTCCCCCCACACATGCCGTACCATACCGAGGTGCTTTTACTCACAATCTCAGACTGTGTTGTTGTTTAATACGTACTCCTCATTACTCTGTATTCGTTCACTTCTGTCCTTCCAACCAGCATTTAGTCTCATGTTTACTACTGCCCGGTTCAGTGATTTTTTCACCGTCTCTTTTATTCCTCTTACGATATAGTTCGGGTTTCTAGCCAGCGGTCTATCAATTTTCGTCGGATAACGAGTGCACCCAGGTCATTGTTTTGTCTTTTCGTAGTTCTTCAGCTGTGTAGTGATTATCTGTTTGCATTCTCAGTTTATGCATGGCGAGATTGACCTGAACCCCCTTTTCTGTTTCATAGCTGTAATTTGCGGTTATTTCGGAGACCCCGGAGGATTTGGACCGATTTTTTTCAGTCAGCCTACCAGATGAGCCAATCTAATGGGGAATGCGAGGATCTTTTGGTAATTGGAGCCGGTCTTGGGAGAACCGGAACAAACAGTTTGAAACTCGCCCTTGAACTTCTTTATGACAAACCGTGTTACCACCTAAAGGACCTGTTTAGCCGTCGGCATCGAGATGTCCCTAAATGGCTGGATATGGAGCAACGCTTGAAGCAGTCAAAAGATTCAAAGTTCGACGTAGCCTTGTGCAAAGACTTTTTCAAAGGTTATCGGGCAGCGGTTGACCATCCAGTTTGTGTATATTACAAGGAACTCTTGGAAGTTTTCCCAAATGCAAAAGTACGTCCTGTCAAACCTGATAACCGTACATTTCTTCTGTCTGTTTGCAGCACATCTATGACGATTTCCTTATTTGCTCTAGCTTTTACAGTACAGAGGAGGACAGGGGACGTAACACCCAACAGGACCTTGTGGTTTCATCTGAACTGCTGGACGTATTAATGTACAACAGGCAGCTTCGTATTGTTAGGTACATTAACAGACTCAATAAACTTCACTAGAGCGAAACACCCCCAGTTCAGGCCAGTCCAGTACATATCCATGAACTTTGGTTTCAAATTAGTACCACCGGGGGCACTCCGACGAATCCCATTCTAAGCGTTCTGCAGATGCTAGTGTTTCTTTCTAATGAGGAGGTAGTGGCGATGGTACACTAGTTATTATACTCCGGCATTCGTCAGCCAATCCGTTTTTTCTTCCGCAAACTCTTCACTTAAATGGCCGCTGTTTCACTTCCCACAGTTTCCTTCACTGGTGATGGAGCAGAAAAGGAAATCAGATGTAATCCAGCGTTTCTCAAGCGTATAGAGGCTTTGGGATTTGATGGAGTAGGGTTGGATTGTAGGAATGTGTAGTGGTGTGTTAAACATCGAGAGCGTTTCTGGTTAATTAGAACGGCTTTGCCATGCGTCAAAATCCTGTTTCTGGTTATCACATGCAAGCTGTTCAAGCAACAGTTGTTGCATCATGTCAAGTCAGTTCAGATCACACCGTCCGAATGCACAATCAGTTACTACGATGACTATAGATCTGGGGTATATAGACAAACTGGAACGGTTTCAACACAGGTTGACAGCAAGACTTTCTGTACACGCGGGCGCTCTCTCTGTAGGTTATGTTAGCCTGTCGGTTAGGCTCAAGTGTGAATGTGGTTGGACTAGCACAGGCCCTGATAGGACCGTTGTGACTGCACCCCTTCCATTCAGATGGAGGCTAGCTGACAAAAATTTTGAATGTTGTTACAACACACTGGAAAATTACCCTCAACCTATGACCCATGTTGAAAAGATCCCAACACTTTGTTTCAGGGCGAGATATTCTGTAGACCGACGGAAGCAAAAGATAAACCAACATCTTGTAAGGTATGTTTTCTTGCCTGGTTGTGTGTTCTAAGAGGAATCAGTGTCTATAGTTTCGGAATCGGAGACTGAGCCACATCTTTCAACTTTAATAGACTTAATACGCCACCTTTCGTGGACCCCGTACAGAAAAGGAGAAATTGGTAGAATCGACTTACTGATCGGGATTCCTATACTTTTTCTAAGCCGAAAGTCGTCTATCTGGATTTTGTGGACTGAAAAGCTTCCTGTGGATTAGGCTTTCTAATGTACGAATCAATGTTGTCTAAACAGCGTAACTTGCATTGTTCTCACCTTTGTCGTGGGTAATTTCTCGTAAAGACTGGCGTATCTTAACAATTTCGGGACATCAATATTCAGCCATTAAAAGATTTACCTTGCCCGTTTTGGCAACCTTTGTCGTCCTGATAGTCGGAACAAGCCCACTGTGCACTGTCCCTCTGACAAACAAACATGCCCACGCCCTGAACCATAGATTTCTAAGGTTGAGATAAGTTATCCTTGTCACTCTAACCCCGTGGTCTAGCTGCCCAGGTGGATCGATTTTCCGCCACACAGATTGGTTCGTCTAAAATTGTGGGATTGGGTCCGCTCCCATCCAGTTTTGCTGTTCGCTTGTTTGAAGCGGACTGAATAGTATTCAAGGTTGGATAGTTTTAATTCATTGAAAAGCCTAATGGGAATAAATGGTCGCTTAGCTTCAACAAGCAAGTGGTTTTGGTCTGGATTTTTACGATCAGAGTGGGTAAAAAGGGCCCCATCCTTAACTGATGTTTGGACCTTTCAATACTCATTTGGAAATATGTAGTGGCCAGTCATTATCATAATCATCATCATCATAATCGACAACATGAAATCAGTGTTCAACACCGATGCTTCACTGCCGTACGTAGTGGCCAGTGTGTTTCATTGTTTACCTATCCGCAAGGAACTTTATTTTCCTCAAAAGCCGATGGGTGATTCGATAAAACGTCTACTGAAGTGTTGTGCAGTTCAAACTATCTACGGAAACATAATGTCTTATATGTTGGATAGATCTAGAATGGAATGAGGATGATAGGAAACGTCAACATACCTATCTCAGTGAGCCATCTGTACGTATCCAATACAAAATATTGACCTCTGTCAGATAATCCTTTGTGTTAGGACATGTGAACTCGAGGTAGCTCATTGGTTGTGGCGCGAACTTAGGGACTGTATGTCCCTGGTTCAAACCCGTACCCGATTTCGCAACTGCTTTTGTCTAGGCTTGGGTAACCTGACCGCGTGTCAACTCTCGTTCTTCCTTCGTGTGATGTCGCAGCTAGGCACCGAAAGACTTTTACAGCTGAACGGCTATTTAACATATACGACCCACATACGAGTGGAAATTGATCTCAGATGACTCCATTTTGTCACTAAGCATAGAGATGTTGATGTTGTTTTTCTCCTCGTTGGGAAACTGTTAGATTACCTTACCGGAGAACCCGACCATCTGGAACTAAATACAATATAAAGGGCACAAATGAAGTAATACTGTTGGTTGATTCACAGAACACCTGCGTATGTACTCCCTAATTTTCACTCGTCGGGTTAAGTAGTAATCTGTATTTAGGAGTAAAATCCAACCCTGGTAACTAGGTTGGGTTAGACGAATAGTCGTAAAACAGTTTCCTACAATAAACTATTTATATTTCCGCGTGGCAAGTAAATATGAAAACTGAATAGAAATACGTGGACGTGAGGAGTCACTGTGAATGTAGACAGGTAGATCGACATATTCCCTGAGTTCCAATCAGACCCCGAAAGTAGCGGAAGGTAAGCTACTTCGCGCCCCAAATGAGTGCCAGATCCTTGTTTCCTACCAGAACCATGTGACTGAAGTTCCCGATAACAACATGGATGGAGAAGCACGTCGCCTCTTGCAGATTCAAGAATCTTTTGCTCCATACTGTTTGTCGCATTGTAACAATTCTCTCATTATGGTTATATCTGGCACTATGTCATCGGCGGCTGCCTGAAGCTTACGCGAAAGGCACCAGCATCTGTCATCTTTCGGAGACCCAATTACCGAATCGCTTCTGCTCCGTGGTTGGTATTCGAGACAGATGTGCTGGTCAGCAATGGCTGTACTGCTAAATACCTGTATACAGGCAGTGAATATTAGACGATTCACGTCTTTCCGAGTGTGGCTTTGCATGCAAGGCGCAGTTGCATGCTCACAACGCTCAACCTTCAGGGTGTAGTGTACGAGTTGACCTTTTGAAGTGACTCATCAGGGCGTAATCGTAAGAAGGCATCGAACTTTGGAAGTGACTGGGTCGGGAAACAACCAAAACTGCAAGGGGGTAGAAAACAGGTTCTCCACTGAATTTCTGGACTGTCGGCAAAAATTATGGTTATTTTCACTAACGATAAACAAATAATGTTCTTCCATTCGCTTGGTTTCTGCATACAGAATTTTTTTTATCTTTAGTGATACGACTCTTGCAGACTCCAGTTTACTCCAATAATGGTGACATTAAATTTGTCTGTCAAGACTGAATGCCCTTCTTCCCTGCCATTGCGTTGAATCAAAGAGTTGCTTTTTGAATGTGAGAATTCGAATGCTTTTCACCCCGTGGAATAAGTGATTTATCAGTACTGAACGGTCAATACTCTTATCCCTGTCCCGACACTGGAACTTACTGTTACCACTCATTTTCACAAATGCTGGCGGATGGAATATTTTACCCCGTCTATGGCTGGCTTGTGGTGAGATTTTGAACTTCTTTAATTCTACTCGATTGGCAGTCTTTGGGACATGTTAGTTTAGCGGGTGTTCAAAAAGTGCAAACATCTGTTACTTTGACGCTGACTTCGTAGTTTATCCGAAACAGAGGTGAAGAGGATTTGTTCAAACTGTTATTCGTCTCCCGAATAAAAATAGCAAGAGGTGACCTACTAATGGCCTTAGGACGAATGTCTGAGTACGTCGTCAAAAGCTCCCGATAGAACGGTACTGGATTGTTTGGCCATCGGTGGCTCCGAAGCGTTGAGGAGGTCTGGTGGGGGTATCGGGTCAGTAATGCTGAAGTACGCCATTGGTTTTCGGGAAAGTTCACTCTCCCTCGATAGATTGACCCGTCACATTACACCGGTTAGACCACATACTTCGTGGGTCAGAAGGCCACCTGAGTCTTAAAGCTCTCTTCACCCAGCCTTGCATCGGATGAAGACGGCTGACAGGCGGTCAGTCCATGACTTGACAACAAAGCACGAAAGTCTACGAGTCATTCAAACCGCGTTGGTAACTGCCGTCTCCTCGGATGGGGACTGCGGAATGGTTCGCGAATCTGATGGATATGGCTCCGCCACGCAACCGACAGCGGTATTGCATGAAAGCAATCGCCTTCCCGGCATAGCTACCACTTCCCGCCGTACTTTACATTGGGTCCATTTATTGTCAGAACGCAGATTGGGCCACTTCCTGCAATATGTGGCTCTCATTTCCTTATTCCTCTTATCCTTGGTGAACGAAGCAGCAGGAACCACTGCAATCTGGTGCACGAGCTGTGGGCTGAAAAACTGAATTGAGCTGAACTGAAATCAGTCTATGCACTAGTGTTTCATTCTTTTTGGAAATCGTTAGAAGTGCGCTTCTCATGATGTTTTGGACGCACTATTCTCTTGATAGTAACAGAACGCTATACCGCTAAGATATCGTTTGGCTGAGCAGCAGTGTGACTAGCGTTTTGCAGCAGAAGAGGATGAATGGAACCTTGTTTTTTTCACTTCCCTCAGAACGTCCTTGTGCATCCCGACATTTTTTGCCGTATCACATTATTTTCTTTTTTCCCCTCAGGTTATCGTAACAGTCCGTGACCCGGAAATTTGGCTTGCTGGATGCAGGTCAACTATTCTACCTCGCGATCTGCTAGCTAATCGGCCTTGGTCTTTCTACTTTCTGCGGAGCGTCTTGGGTATGAAGCCGTTACATGAGTTGTACTTGAATAGTTGGCGGCGGGTTTTTGGTGAGAATATGGATTTCAGTGACGATAATGCAATGTTGAATGGCTTCGTCGCGTGGACTGAACGTGTAAAACGAGATGTTCCTGCGGACAAACTGTTGGTATACGATATCAGCAAAGGTTGGGAACCACTGTGTCGGTTCTTACAACTCCCAGTCCCCGACAGTCCCTTTCCACACGTCAACGAGTACAGGGAACTGCGTCGGCTTATCCGTCTAGAGCGAAGATCCAGCAAGATTTTGCAGTGGGGTCTACCCGCACTGCTTCTGCTTCTTCTTGCGCTTCTAGTTTATAACCTCTGGCTCCACTAACGTTACCCAGATTTGCTGGCTCAATGTATTCTTGTTTTGTACCTTCTTTTGTCCACGATTCGCACCTCTTGTTTTCACTGTTGATTCTGCCTATCATACATCATCGTCAAGTGCGGGATGGTTAAGTTTTGCCCACAAACTCGTCACATCTGATCTCCGTACCTTTACTCTGTTTTTCCAACCAGTGTTCAGTGCTTAGATTCGTTCTTGTACTGGAGTTTGTTTCATCAACGAAAGATACTATTTCTGTGTTGGTGCTTCCTGTTATTGTTTAATTACGGGCATCCGAGTTCGGTAATGTATAATGCCTACATACTCACGAAAGCTTTTCCGTACCTTACTGATCCGTCATAAGAAACACAATTAAGGGGCACTTATGCTGTTTCCCTCTTCGAGGTACTTCCTAGGTGGGGCATTTTCACAAAACAGGATAAAGTATTCCGTTGCTAACCCGTCGAGTGTAATGTACTAACTACGAGCTCAGCCACTACCTTCAAACAGATATCCCAACTTTTTTGGGGGACTCGTATGTAAAATTGTAAGCGCCTTCCTCCACATCAAAAAAACCACTTATCCATCTGTGGATATTTTCCGAACCACTATTACCAGTTCCGCTTTTTAATCAACATAGTACTGTACAGAGTATACGTTTGACATCGTTCAATCGTCATGTCCTGCTTTGCTTGATATTTTCGACTTGAGGCAGACAATTTCATAGAGTAGGTATCAAAACAAGGCGTTCAGTAGCTGGCGTCTTTTCTTGTTTAGTACGGTTGAACAAGGTCTACTTTGCATCAGCTAGTGAATGGAGTGGGAGTAAATATGAGCAATGAAACTCTCAGCTATTCATAATTTTTCTTATTCTGTCTTAGTGTGGAGTTAGTGGTTTCTGTTTGTTTAGTTTCGTTTCGTTTAGCATCGAGGACTTGTGTATCGAAAAAAACTTGTTCCCCCCTCCCGAATGCGGTTTTTATGAAGGGAGGGCCTAATCATAATCGCTCTGAGTATTCCTTCCTTCAAGATGTTTAGCTGAGAGCCCCCTTATGGAAAAGCCAATCATCAAGTGCCCAAACGTCCGCTTTGTTTCATGTTTCGCAGTGTGATGGCAGCACGTTGAATGTAGCCAATCAAGTTGTTATTCAGTACGATTTTTCACCGCTGTTATCCAGCCTGATTTAAATGTGGGATGTTGGAGTGAAACTGAATAGGCTAATGCAATGGTGGTATTTAGGATGTTCCGATTTTCTGGTAGTCTGTCGTGAATGGCCTTGGAAAAGTGGGATTCATGATCTCAGCATGGATCAACTATCGTGAGTAACGGGCGTCGCCACTCAATTTATACGGCAATGGATATCATACTAAGTAGTTGACCAGTTGACGGGATTTCATTACAAACATTCACAGTATTCTGATAGTTCTTTTCTACCCACCACTTCTTATCGGTTCCATTGGTCATTATCTGTGTTCTTTGGCTTTAGCGCATTTACTTTGGTCAGAATAGAAACGGACCATCATTACCATCATCAGTTTCGCGTAGACCAATCAGTGTTGGGTTATGCTGTCAGCCCCTACCCTAGCTAACATCCAGTTACTGATCCAAACACGCATTTCTGATCAATTTGGACGACACAATAGGAACATTCTTGCAAAGTGTTTCTCACACCCGCAACTGTTGTGATGTGTGTTAAACAGATTACAATATGCAAAAAGGTTCGTTGTGGACAACCCTCGCTATCGATGAGATGAGTATCACTGCCTACGCCAGCAGTCCTTGGTGTTTCGCTACTGGAAACCCCTGGTTCGGGTTGTCCCTCTGTATCCGTTGGTATATCATAATGCACTGAAGTATGAGTTTTCCCCCACATTGCCTTACATTATACTGTATTTTGTTACATTGTAACATTTCACTGTCTTGGATTATTTCTTTCACTGTCTTGGCCTATGAATTAGATTTTATTAACATATACATATATTTCATCCAATCATATGCGAATCACCTTCCTTAACTCTCTGGATATTCTGGTTTTAGACCTACAACGGTGTTAGACGACTCTGTGATCATCGTTGTATAGACCGAGTTGAATAATGACTAGCTCTTGTCAGCCATGTGAGTGCCTTGGTGTGGTTCAAGATGAATGCAGGCCACACCTTTCGCATGCATTGTGTCTCAACCATTTGACTGTACTTTAACTGGCGTTTATGAACCACCAGCTGGTTATGCCGATGGCTTCAGAGCTACGCTTCCCTTCTGTCGAATTCCCTCGAGTTTAATCTAGGTACAGAGCGTTCAGATGGATGGTTCAGCACACACCACATATCGTATTGCAGTCTTGCGTGAGTGTCCATCAACTTAGTTCGAACTGACAAACTGATTCGTAAGCGGACATCTACTTATCAATATGCAAAAATAGAAACAAATTGCAAAAGTCAGTGGTTACTAATTAATGATTTCATAGCTGTGTTTTGTCCTGCTTCGTACATAGCGTCGTATTGTACGAAATGGCATTATTTTGTCAAATTAGTTGTCGGTATATTTAAAGGTCGAATCCTCTGATTCTTAAACGTTCCATTCCACCTGACGTCACGTGGCGTTTGGTTAATGGTCTATCCCGTGATATTCTCTGAGTTGATGGAACTTTCGTCAAGTATTGATCAACTTCGATCAGTTCTGCTGACGCGAAAATTACAGTGCAACTTTAGGCTCACATCTGACAGCATAATTACGCTGCAAATATTTTCAATTTTTTCGGCAATCTATTAGGTCCTAATGATGAAGTATGATGGTCTTTCAGGTCATCACAGAATTGTTAGAGCTTGAAACTATTATTTTTGTTTGGCTTAAGCATACTTGTGAAAATCCCCATTGCGCTGTAGCCGCGGCGCCACAAACCCTTTTGTCCTTTTAAACCTAGTATGCTTGTGTGACTCACATGGTCGCAATCGGCCGGCTAAAATTAGCTTCGCCATGAATGGTGGATAAATGAAGCCAAGACACAGCTCGCTCGGAGTTCGGTGACACTGATTGGGCATATAGTGGACAGGTTAGCCCACTGCCAGAGAAATTGGCAAAGATGGAGGACTGTGCTGTTCCCAATTCAGAGCGGTCCCTACAGGAGTTTCTTGGACGAGCAGCCGGTTTGTCAAGGAGATCAACACGATTGCTGCTCCACTGTACGACTTGCTCGGGCAAATTCGGAAATTCGAATGGATCAGGAAAGCGCATGAGGCTTTCGAACGTGTCAAAGCGCGGATGCTGGATCAGCAACTGACCCTCAAACTGCCCAGAGTTGGAGAGATGTTCATTGTTGTTACGGGTGCTGGTGACCGTGGTATCGGCACAGTCCTAAAGCAGAGGAACGGGGTCATCGAATATACCAGTCATTTGCTGACCAACTCTGAGCAGAAGTACTCGACCATTGAGAAAGAATATTTAGAGATCGTCTGGGCCCTGGATAAGTGGAGGCCATACCTGCTTGGACAAATATTTCATATCGAGACTGATTACAAACCCGCGGAATGGATAAGGACCACTAGAGATCCTCGCGGAAAGCTCGCGTGCTGGGCACTTCGGTTGCAAGAGTATGACTTCAGGATCCAGCCCGTGTCAGGGAAGGAGATCCACTTGGCTGATTTACCATCGAGAACAGAGGCTGAAGGTGAGGCCCCTAGGTTCATGGTTGGAGCCAATAGCCTCGCCGCTGAACTGGATCCCGGAAGATTAGTGCGACTCCAACGGCAGGATCCTTTGTTACGGAACGTTGCAGTCCCCTTGTTGGATGGAAAGATTATTGAGAACGGAGAGGGAGACAAGGAAATGGAGACGTCCCAGAGTCACTTTGATTGGCTGAGTCTGAATGAAGCTGGCATAATTTCCTGGAACGCCACCGATTCGGATGTTGTGCTGTTCGTGATACCTCGCGTCTTGAGACAGAAGCTTATGGTCGAATGCCACGAGATGGTACACGCAGGGTGTACCAAGACGTACGACTTACTTCTGCAGAAATTTTTTCGTGGAACTAGATGGTATACCTTTGAGCTTCAACGTATGTGAATTTGCCGAAAGGGGAATAAATAAACAGCCGAAAGATTGATGTTGACAGGCACCATAATTCCAAAATGGTTGGTGAAACAGTGGGAGGTATAGAAGCATGCCTGAACTTCACTCGCTCCGTTTTAGACTACTCGGGTTAGGCTGAAGAACACAGCCTAGCAATGGGATCTTTCACATTCTCAGTTTCAAAGTAAATATTTATGGTCGATTTATCTTACTCACCGGAGACATTTTGATGTTATGTAAATGATTGCTTTTTCGTGATTTGACTGAACGAGGTCAATGAGATTTTCAGCTTTCCTCATGATCTGAATTGCCCTACCAAACCTAGTATAGAAATGAAGGCTCGTTAGATTGCACTTCACATAAGGTTGGCGAAGAACTGCAAACCACAGTGTGCCAGATACCAAATGACAGTGACGTGATTTCGAACTACCTGATGGCTCATCCTAAAGTGATATTCGCAAGTATTTTCGAAGGTATCCTTCGAAGGTTGACTGAACACAGAGAGAGGCAGATCCGTGAAAACCAAGCTGGGTTCCGTCCTGCATGAGGTTGCATCAACCATATCTTCACCCTCCGACAGATTCTGGAACAGCGACACTGCTTCCAGATCTGAAAGCTGCCACTGACTCTGTGGACCGCCAAGCACTATGGCAGTGTCTGTGGAGCAAAGATGCCCCCCATAAATTCTTGAACCTCATTAAGGCGCTGTACACCAACTCCCGCGGCCGTGTAAAGGTCTACGGGAAGCTTTCTCCTGAGTTCACCACATCCAGTGGTGTCCGACAGGGCTGTCCTCTTTCACCTTTCCTCTTCAACTTCGTCATTGATACGATCATGGAAGACGCACTACCAGCCTCTAATGCCTG